ATGGTATACCGTAAACAGGAGATGATTCACTTGCATAGGCATCTCACTGGTACAGATTTTCCCTCTTTTTGAAGGCACTACAGTTTGTACTTTGAGGTTTCTCAGCCCGTTTCTCAACATGTGGCCAAAGGGTCTATGAGGCTATGAAATGGGCATGAAAACGCTTCACGTTTCGTGGAAGTGTTGTGTGGTTTGAATAGTTAATGCATGTGTATGCATACGCAGAGCTTCACATCAAAAGCACTACCGTAGCATTTGTGTGTAAATACAAGTTTCTACCACTATATAGACAGCTAGTATCACATTATTTCTTATCCTTCTACTTCCCTGTGGGTTTTGTAGGTAACAGTAGTCAAAAAATAATGTGATTTTCTATTTTTATAGGGACTCAGCAGTTAACATTCATTGCCAGTCAGACTCCTTTTCATGTCTGGCAGCTCTACAGAACTTGGGTTGTGTGACTAAATTGTACTTGTATGAAGCATGCCATTAAAACGGGAACGGTTGTTCAACAGATTAAGGACTCCTAGGATCAAGTACTTAAGGTGAACTTAAAAAAACCACTGGAACACCTACTTATGTAGGTTAAAAAAACCCAACAACTCCCCCACACCCCCACCTTCCCCTCTCATCCTGTGTAATAGGTGTATTAAAAGTCAGTCTGTTGCTCAGCTAACACTTTAAAGTGATAGAAGTGGTTGCAGCCACCAAAAGAAGTCCTGCCTTACCAGTGTTCACAGACCCTCATTCCTTTTTTGCTGCATCAGTTTTCAGCTGGATCAGTTTCCTGATCTGCTGTGCTCTGCGGCCACCAAATCCTTGTGGTGGCTCAGGAGTGAGGATGGACGCTTGGGGGACAAAGGGACATGGGGCTGTAGCTTGAGGGTTGACTTGTTAAATGAGAGCTCACAGAAATCTTCGAGACTCCTAGATTAATATATTTACTATAAACAATTCTGTTTTTTACAAGTTATTCAAGTTAACCGTCTTTGTTTTTATGTGAGCAAGAGTGATAACTGACCTTTTGTCTTCTAGAAGAGAACAACTTGTCTAATTGCAATATTTTCTGATCAGTGATTACATTGTGCCCTTGCTTCTACTGTTGATGTTGAAAAACATCTTAGCCAAAATAGTATAAATATATTTTGAAGATACACCCCGCCCCACCCCGTGTGTATACACACACAAATATATAGGATTTCAAATACTCCAGTGTAAGAGACTCTACTTCACAGACTTGGTGCCCTAATCATTTTTAGTAGCTGTAATTTTAGCCTTTTGATCTCACCTGTTAAACATTTAAGTATTTTTCATTTAAACTCAGTTATTACCCTGGGGGTTGATAATTGGGGTTTCTAAAGTGCTCATCCCAGCAAACAGATCAAACTCTTTTCCTAGTTCGGAAAGCAATTCTTCTATCTGTTTGCCAGATTCACAGTATAAATTAGAATGAATAATATTACTGATGCATGATGGAAAATGTAATAGTTAGGAAATGAGAGTAATAAAGACCAAATGTAGCTAACAAAAATCAGTGAAGGAAAATTGAGGAAATGCCTGTGTATTGTGCTGCAGCCTCCCTCTCTGTACAGACAGCACAGATGTAGATAGGCAGAGATTAATCTGGTCAAGATGAAACTAAAATACCGTGGAGTAGGAGATTTTTGTGTGTGACTGTTTATGGTTCCGTATTAAACACAGAAGGTCAGCGGATTATAGACAAAGGGCAGGAGTGCCAAAAGAAAACATGCCAAAGTATTTCATAATTTGTATCAGAGCAAATGAATATTGTGTGCTGCCACAGGGCCTTTCAGGAAGGGAAAACCTGAATGTGATGAATAAATAGCTAATCTGATTGCAGGTAATTTATTACTGTGATTAGTGCTATATAGTCTTTCCTCAGGGAAGAGGAAAGAAATGGATGAGACTTCCTCTTGCTCTGCTCCCCTTTGCTTGGGCCTGGCTTTTGAGGTGTTTGCGTTTTGATGAGTGGTGCTGCTCATCGCTAGCTCCCGAGCCAGCTCTGGAAAAGGAGAGCAAAATGTGGCTGGTTATAAAGTCCGGGAGCCTGGTCAGGCCTTGGTGCACATCCTGTGGTAAATATTAAAGTACGTACAAATACGGAGTGAAGCACCTCTGGTCTCATTGCTGGATGGGGCACCTGGGTCTGCAGCCGTTACAGCCACAGCCAGCACTGGCCACTCCGGCTCGCAGGCTGTGGGTGTGCAGTACCTCTGAGCTGGAGCTTACTAGTAGATGCTGATGAACTTTGGTCCCCATAGGGTTTAAAAAAAAAAATGTTAATTTTTTAAAAAATCAATGGGCTTCCAGGGCCCGTTTCACCTTATTCCTCAATCCTTGTGTTGGTCCTTGGGTTTCATTGGTAGGGCCATGTCCTGAGCTCCCCGGTGGCACTGGGGACCGGCTGTTCTCTCCCAGGGCCCCCGGCTCCCCAGTGCCGTCCTGGCTCTCAAAAACTGACCAAGCAGAGCCTCTCTTTAGTCTTAATAAAATCAACGGCTGCCTTGACAGCAATTGCAGTAAATACTGTTTGGTTTCCCAGACTGATTTCAGGTGCTTACAGAACATGTATAATGTTACATTTATATGTTTTAATAATCACTGATGTCACCATAGGTTTGTCTTCATGTCCTGCGTGTCTTCAAATTAAGCCCTCTTTTTCAAAGGTGTCAAGATAAAAAAAAAAATTGACTTAAAGCAAAATGTTCCAGACTTAATTGGATGTAATATCAGCAAAATGTGCTGATTTTCAAATCTATCAAAATATATGGGAGAAAGTGTAAAACCTGAACGTTTATCCAGTAAGATGAGAAGTTTTCTCTGCTAAAACTGGCAAATGTTGGTAACTTTACAGAAACCTGAATTTAACTTCTCCATCCTACTTCTCTGAGAATTTAATCACATCTAGCTTGTTTTGGGGAATTGATAGTTATGACAAGTGTATCAAATTTCATGCCAGTGGTATTTTTTATGTTTCCTGAGAGAGGAGAAAATAACAATTTTACCTTGTGCCCAGGAGTCACAGAAAGCAGGAATTGTAGGTACCTGCTACATTGAGTGTTTAAATAAAAATGAATTGCAGAGAAGCATGTAGCAGAGATGGGGAGGGGAGGAATGAGAGTGAGGCATAAACTGTAGAGGAGCATTTATTGCATCTCCCTCAGCTTTTAATCTAATGCAGCTCCGCAGAGAGTTATGAATATGTATGATCTGCATTTTGTTCAGATGTGAGGTGTCTATGAAGATGTCTGCTTGTTATTTTCAGGGGATTTATAGCTTTTTGTTTTTCGATCCAGAATTAACTCATTTTGCAAAGATGATGTTTATATACATATCTTGTGTAATTCCTGTTTCTGTGCTGTAAATATGGAAAAGCAGAGGGGTTTGACATGTTCCCTTTAAGTCTTATTTAGGGGAAAGTTAATCTTGTTGTAAATACTTACAGCTTTACTTTGAAACTTACTTTTTTAAAAAAACACAAACCCAAACAGTTTTGAAAGTTGAAAGACAACTTTTAAACTAGCAAAACCACATCTATTTAGGAGAACTGTATTCACGAGAAATATATAGCATCTGATTCTGTGTTCCTCGAGGCAGATGTTGGGAGTAGCAAGATGGACCCATAGATTTCCACATACATTTTGCTGCCGGGGGGGGGGGGGGGGGGGGGGGCAGGCACCGCGGCCGGGGCTGGCGCACGCTCGTGTCTGGGCCCCGGGGGGTCCGGTAGCAAGGGCTTGGCCCGGCGCGGGCAACGCGGCCGACACCCAACCCCCAAAGCAAAACGAACCTTTTCTAAATTATTATTAGGAATATACACCAAAATGAATGATTTGCTATAAGACTAGGAAATCGGGCTGATGGTAAAGTCAGTAGAAGGGAGATGTGAGTCTGGTTTTAGCTTTGATGCAAACTTACGTGTGATTTTTGGCAAGTCACAGTGGGACAGATTTTGTAAAAGAACCAAACTTCTGTGAAGACACCATAGTACGGGACCATATTTTTAAGGGAGCTCAGCACCCAGTAGGTTTATTTGGAAGATCTAGCACTGGTTGTTGGTACCAAGTGCTTGAAAAATCTGACTCTGAACTCCAAAAATCTGCCTCCATGGGTCTGATCCATGCCTTGTTCCAAACAACAGAAATGGTTGCCCTGACTTGAGGTGATCAACCCTGTACTCTTTATCTCTGACCCTCACAGTAAATGAATTAACCACATTTCCTTTTTCCTACCTTATGTCTTATTTGCATGAGTTTCATGGTTTCTTCTACATGTGTACTTCTTACAGAAATGAGATACTACCATAAAATGAATAATAATAATTATAAAGTGAAAGTCCGTTGCAAGTGAATTGGAGCTTTGGTGAACAGGCTAGGTCTGGGATTAAATGCCACTTCTTTAAATGTTTTGGGTTCCGTACGAATTCATGCAAATAATGGCATAATAAAAGCTAACACCAGCAGCAGCCAAATTCAGTACCCCATGCCTGGTACCCTCAGGACTTACTTGTGAGGCATACTGCAGTCTCTGGCCTACCCACCCGCTCAGATGCCCAAGGTATCTCACTGCAGGTCACTCCTGTGGATTAGGACTCAGGATTGCTGACTCTGACCCAGTCCCATGGATTAAATGGTAGGACTCAGAGTCACATTTTAGGCTAATCTAAATCAGTGTGTCATCAGTTGAAAGCAAGGGAGTGGTGGTGGTTTATGCCACCTTTGGAGCTGGTTTAGTGCCTACCAGCTTGTTTTGTTAAAAGCTTTTTATTGTAACATTGCTTTGTGTGATGTTACTTTTACATTTTAACACAATTTCCTTCAATGGAAGAGAAGCAGCATTAATAACTTCCACTCAACATGGAGATGCACACAGATCTTGGGTATTTCATTCTGTCATTGCTAGCTGTCTACTTATTGTGCCATCAATGCTGGTGTGGGAGGAAAATGTGCTAATTAAGTCCTCTTTTTTTGTTATTTCAGGAAACCTACCATATGAATATAAAATAGTGATTGCTGGGAATCATGAACTGACATTTGATAAGGAATTCATGGCAGACCTTGTTAAACAAGATTACTACCGCTTTCCCTCTGTGTCCAAATTGAAACCAGAGGACTTTGACAATGTTCAGTCACTCCTGACAAATAGTATTTACTTACAAGATTCAGAGATAACAGTTAAAGGATTCCGAATATATGGTGCCCCATGGTAAGTCTCAATTTAAACTTTCTTTGCTGTTTATTACTTGAACCACAGTAGGAATCATTCCTGCTTTTTTTTTGAAAATTCATGAAGCTGCTTTGCTGCATTGTCCTGCAGAACAGTATCGAACTTATCTGTAATCCACTCTGAAACTATTGCCACGTTTTTTGTGGATAAATAGGCTATATTTAGCCATGTGTGTGAAATAAGAGAAAAAGAATTGTAATTATTTCTGTTCTGCCTGCTGAATGCACTTCAAAAATTTTGGTCTCAGTATCCACTCTGTGCTTGTGGATTAACTGCAGTGGTATCTTAGGATGTATTAGGGAAAGAAGCTCCATTATATTGTATGCTGTTTAGGTATTTATGTGCTAACAGATCGTCCGTGGTAGTATTTGACACCCACACAGCACAAGGTTCAAGGCAGCAGGTACTTGAAGTGTTATTTCTGGTCAGTTCTAGGCATTGTTTTCTTTTGCGTGTAAAGTTGTGATAACAAAATTTCAAGCCAGTTTTGGTCTTGTGCCAAGCATATGCAGGAAAAGTTGCTGTCCAGTTTTGTACTAAGGAGACTCTTCTTTGTTTTTCCTACATGTTGTTGAATTGTGATGCCTGATACCTCTCTGTGGAGTCTTGGGTAGCACTTGTTTGGAATCCTCATGCTAACAACAGCCACAGTCCTTTGAGGCTGTACCAGAAACCTGAACTTTAGCGATGGTGATAATCATTATGCTACTTGGCATTCTCAGTTGTCAGCTGAAGTACTTAGATGCTAATTTATGCACACCTATAAGAAGAGTTTATTATAAGCTTGTAACTTACATTTTTGATGTCAGGCTTGCTTTAAAGGTGAAAGTGGGAGAGGAAGGGGGAATGGCAGGCGTTGAACCAAAGAATGGGGCAAACCTACACAGACCTGAGAAATTTTCCCTTTCGTCTCATCTCTATTAGACTGTTCACTTGGGCCGCAGGCCTTGGTGATTCAGACAAGAACACACACGGTGATGCTTCTGACAATGCTTTTTTTGGTCATATATGTACATTAGTGCTGGCTAGATAATGATGATCCAGCTCTGTATCTCACATTCTTGACTTAAGGTATTATTTATTTAATTCAAATTCATAGCCTTTAGTATAGCAGCATATAACACACAGAGGAAGACAGGGCTGATAAAGGCCTTGGGTAGTGCGAGGTGAATTTGAGACTTGCTGGAAGGTGAGCAGCTGTGTGAGCTGGAAAGTTAGCTGCCAAGATTAAGATTGTGTTCAAGTTCTTTCATACATATGTCTCAGATTCAGAGGGCTTCTATTCTGCAGGCATCCAATGATTACGAAGTGTAGACATCTTTTCAGATTTATTTGGGGCAGATTTACCTGAACTCTGCTTACTACAGAGCTGCTGGAGAGATCTGGAGGAGAACGTAGAATCCAACTCTGGGGAAAAGTACCGTTGGGGAAGAGAGAGCTTGGCATTCTGAAATACAGAACCGTGTGATATGCCTTTACATTTACATTTGTATGTACTGGCAAAATGTAGTGATCTTTTTTTTTTTTCCTTCTTTTGCTTCCCAAATCCATAATGGCAATCTGTTATCCTTTTGTCTCCGTCTGCATTTAGAAGTTCTTTCATTTTGCAGGTATACACATGGATTTAGAATGTTTGTTCTGAAATATTAAGGGATGCCGCATCAAGGAACCGAGTTGTTCTAACCTTAACAACTGAATGGCATATCTATTCTGACTTAGTCGTGGAAGACAAATGTTAATTATTCCTCCCTATAATCCATCGATAACTGGATTTTTCCAATTAGTAATCAATGGGAAATAAAGCTAGATTGCTAGAAAGGCACGCTGAGCTCCAACCAAATGCAGACTTCTTCTCTCTCGAAGGGTGTTTCATTTGTGTTCAGCTGTGAGAAACTGTTGTCAAAGCATGTTTTGAGCAACGGTTGATGTGGAGTTGAGGCTATCATTTTGAATACAGCTTTTTAGATCAGCTAGTCTGTGTTCAGAGGATAGAGTTGTCTTTTCTTTCTTTCTCTCTCTCTCTCTTTTTTTAATAATGACAGTTCCTGGAAAATGTGAAAATTAATCTAGTTTCCTGCATTTTAGTTGGCCTTTGAGAGGAAGGAAAAGTCACATCAGATATTGGAAAAATCTGTTCCAGATCTGTTCTGTGCCTAGAAACTGAGAGAACAATCAGACAAGCCTGTTAGCACTTCTTATTTTTTTTTTCTCCTTCCCCTCCAATCGCATCTCAGTCTACTACTATAAATCTTCAGATTACCCCAAAGGAAGAGAATTTGTGGGGGTTTTGTATGTATTTATGGCCACCTTACCCCAATTAGTTCTGTCACAGAAGTGGAACACTGGTCATTAACCCAGAACATGCTCCAACCCTAAAATGAGATAAGTTGGCACATTCAATTTATGTGCATTTTTGTAAGGATCTCCAAAGGGAAAAAAATTCTCATTTGCTGATAAAGCTACTGGTTTTAATTTAAAAAGAGGGATCAAACCAAGAATAACAGCTGTGATTCTGGAGGTTTCAGCCTGTCAGGGGTTTCTAAGAAGTAATTGCCAGAAGACTGGGAAAACTGGCTATAAGTCATCTATGTATTTAGAAAATGTAAATTGCCAACTCAGTGTAACTACAGAAAAGAAATATCAGTCCATATTCATTACATGTTATTACTCATGGTACATCTGAAAGCTTTCTAAAGACCTAAGAGAATTCAAGTAGTGCCTCCTAACTTACAATTTAGTAGAATTTGTATGTAGAAAATAACTTACAATACACGAGAGCATTCATGTGTATTTGCAATTGGAATGTGCGGTGGTGCATATCAACAGCCTCTAAGGAGCAGAAAATTTGAATTTAGCCTGATGGTTCTGAGAGTATTAAATGGCATTAGCTGGAGGGGAGTTGAAAACAGAGTATCAGCCCCTAAAAGAGAAAAGAGCAAGGGTGGGACATGAATCACGCTCCAAGTTCTGCTCATTTTCAGAGGTGGAGAATGGAACTGACATTTTCACACCTTAAATAGGAGATTCTTTGTACCTTGAAGGAGCAAAATGGCTGAAGATTTTTCCATTTGGTCTATAGATAAAAATCCACAAAAACATTTCCCTCCTTTCTCTTCCTTCTGACTTTGCCCTGTGAACCTGGCTTGTTTGGTGGGAAAATAACGGATAGTTTATGCAGTCAAAACTCTTAAAGATTCCAATGGAACCATTTTCTCCTTTGGAAATTGGAGACTGAGGCTACTTATTGAACAAGATAAAAAAATACAAACAGTAATGGATATATGAATTTTTAAATCTTAAAACTCCCTTTGTGAAGTACATGTAAGCATAACTCATACTGATATATCTGTAAAAGCGTAAGGAGAGACCGTCTGTTTTTTCTGCAGCTTCGGGTGCTGAATATGTATAAGTGAATACGTATAAGTTTTATGTAAATTCAAATGTTATTTTAAAACACGTGTGTGTTTTAAATTATATTTGAAATTGTTCATCCATGCTAAGGACTGAATTTACTATAATGTTACAGACGTTTGAATACAAGTATTCTAGCAATGTCTGTTTTCTAATGAAGCTTTAAAAGCATTCAAACCACCAGAGAACTGCAGTTAACTGGAGCCAGAATTTGTTTAAACCACGTTTTGACAGAAACAATTGTTCAGGGAGAGTATTTTTCTGTTTTATTTTGTTCTGCTGTTTGGTTCTACAGGTAGCTTTTTTGGTTTGTTTGAAAGACAAAGATAGTTGAAATGAAAAAGTATTCTGAAAAACTTTATTTTGTGTGCATAGAAATTTATGGTAGTTAATTTCATGAATAATGAGGCAATAGGCTTATTTATGGATTTTAAATTCTGTTCTCCATAAAAATTCCACAAAAAATATCCCAAGCCATAAGTATAAAATAATCTACTAAAGCAATTATTTACATTATTTTTAGCTATTAAAATGTATAGGCAAATTCCACCTGTATCTAGCAGAATGAAAAGCAAAACTGAAGACCGGAGACTTTCATCATATATATTTGTTTAGATAACTATAGATAGATGAATCTTTTTGAGGGAAGAAAATTTTTAATATGAAAGCTAATTCAATATAAATCAATGCATTTTAAGGGTTAACGGAATCAACTTCATGGAAATAACTGAAAAGCACAAACGTAAAAGATTAAAATTGATTATTTAAATAATGACTGAAATCTGCGATTTGCATCATTGTGATGAAAATCAGTTCATCCTGAATGAAGCTGGGAATAAAGCTCTTCCCTCTGACAGGAACAGCAGCATTGTTCAGCAATATCCTGCACATTTGTCAAGTTGTAGCTTGTTCAGGTCTCAAGAACAGAAGCACAAAGCTGGCCTCCCAGTTGCTTTTAATGAATACTAGCGGGTTTTTCTTATGTCCAAGAATTTGATCTGTAGGGTGATCCAGAGGTTAAGAACAAAAGGCTCACTATCGCTCACCTCTGCGAAGCCAAGGCTTTCATTTGCTTTTTTTAGTAACTCTAGAGGAAGTGCCTTAACTCTCTTTCAGAAGCAAAATTTTAATTGGCATAGATAATGCAGCCTTAAGAAAGTATGGACAGGTTCAGTCATCTCCTTTAAAAATAATGTTTCGTGCAATTTTTTTCTTCTCTTTTTAGCTCAGTGGAAAATTTGGGGGTTTCATCAAATGGTTTTGCATAAGTTTGAACTTATTTCTGCAACTCTGTTTCTTTCGCTGCTTCATTTGCAATCGTATTTTAATACAAATAGCTCTTAAGTTAGTACGTCTGCCGCCTTCTGATCAGTGTTTTCAGACTTTGTGTTTATCCTGTCAGAAAAGCATCAGATGTTGTTTTTTTTTTTTTCTTTTCAATTATAAGTTTTGTAATGCATCATGGATTTTGCTGACAGTCCTCAAGTTCTTGAAATAGCAAGCAAATTAACAGCAGATATTGAGCGTGAGGACTGAAAAACCAATTGGCAACTCACATGATAGGATTC